TTATGCGTATATTTGCAATCAACACTAACATACTATGGTTTTCTTGTCCATAGTATCTGGAAGACACATAATTTTGCATGTGCTGTGGGCTTTGCCCTGACAGAGCATGGTTGTTCAACTTGAGCGCCAGAGTACTTGCGGGCTCATGGCCGAGACGCTGAGTCTCAGTAATATTCCTTGTCCACTATAACTCAAGCAAAAATCATCATCATCAGTCTTGACTAAATGGAACTATGAGCTGATAGATGTTGGGACAATCAGATATTTACCAGGTCTTCTTCAGTTGGCTTTTTCGTCCTGGCTATGAAACACTGCTTTCTTTGATGTCTTTTTAGAAAGATGATTGTTAATTTTCTTTACACCTTTCTTTTTAAAGGTGACGATGATGAGATTCCACAGGAGTTGCTACTGGGAAAACATCAGCTTAGTGAGCTGGGTAGCGAATCTGCAAAAATTAAGGCAATGGGCATTATGGACAAGGTACATATTTATAGCCTCTAACTCTGTCATAACATTCCACCCTCTTCAGATGTGTGTGATCGATACCATAAATAACATTCCACCTTCTTCAGGTGTGAATGTGACTGATACTATAAACAGTCATTCTTCTGCTACCTTGGTGGAAATTATTGCACTTTGTTGCTTCTTGATACTTTTACTAGAGCTGAGACGTTGTTTTGAATGCATCGATGCAGTGTCAGAGCACCATATATCACAGTATGGGGTACTTGGCTTTGCTGTGAAGTAGGTATTAAGATAAACTGCATGATCTATTAAGGCACTCAAGTTCTCAGCAATATCAAACATGCCTGAGCTGTAAACCTTAAAATAGTTTTCCCCAAAGCACAACAAGCTGTAACGCTTCCATGTGGGGGAAAATGGAGCCTGCTGGCAAAGTCAATCCTTCACTGCACGCCACCCAGCTCCACACCACTCCTTCCAATGTAGGCCATCAGTGTGAAGGTTTATGGCTGCAAGTGAGCGTAACAATGATTTTCTATAGGATGCATATCTCTTATGGACTTCACTTCAAGGGATTTTTTTCTGTCATTGCAAACTGCTCTCTCCTCCCTCCATCTCTGCATCCCTCCCGCCTCGGTCCTTACGCCCATCGGCGCCCTTTGCATCCGTCTGTCCTGCCTTCTGCACCCCTGTCCAGCCTTTCTTCACTTCATCCATCCTCACAGCCATCCCCAGCCCTATCCACCCACCCACCCATCCACCCACCCATCCATCCATCCATCCATCCATCCATCCAACATGTGGGTCTATATGTACGTTGTAGTCCTTTCCAGATTTTGCATAGTCTCACAATTGTTTAATGTTAAATCTGTAGGCAAGCATTTTACTACTTTTATCAATGTGCAACATTTTCAAAGTTGAAGCTGTTTATTAAGAACAAATTTCCTGTGGGTTAGTGCTAAAATATTACAGATAGTCCGCTCTGTTTCTCCATAAGTCTGTAGAACCATCTAAAATTTGTCATTGATACTTGACTTTGATAAATTCCAGTTTTTAGGATCAATAGCATAAAAGATATATGCTATTGACGGGTGTTCTTAAATAAGTTTTTATGGATTTTGCTCTTTGGAATTTTATTGCTGAATCTGTTTCACTAGTTTGTTTTATCAGCATTCTCAGTCACTGCTATTGTATAAACTGGGCAAGCCAAGACCCAATCCTTGTTTCAAAGTATTCACAATTTACATGTAATGCCAGACTTACATACCATGTTCTATTTTTCACTTATGCAAATGTTTTAAAGTAATTTGCAAGCCTTTACATTCCTGCCACTGTCTGATGGGTTTGTTTTCTTGTTTTAGCTCTCAACAGATAAAACAGTAAAGGTCCTGAATATTTTGGAGAAGAATATTCAAGATGGATCAAAGCTTTCGACATTACTTAACCATGTGAGTTTCAAACTGCATCACTTCACATTGTTCCAATCCCATTTAGTTTCAAGTGGGAAGTGTGTACGTGTAAGGAACTTCTGATTTAACAGGCTTGTGATGCAGATTGTCAAATTTTAGTATTTGAGGTAAAGACTGATGAACACTCTTTTCAATTTCTGTGGTAAACATATTTTACTGTAGTGTACAACTGACGAGCAGATGTGTTGAGAACAAGCAAGTTTTAAATATTATAGTACTTACTATACTAAAATATGTCTTCCAGATATATTAATGGTAACTGGTATAAGCTGTAGCAAGTTGAATTTCTTTGCTACATATTCATAAAACTTTCCTTACAAAGTAGAAGAAAACATGCCTTTTGTGTAGAGCATGTTCTTCCCTGTAGCATCAAGAATGGTGAAGGTGCTATAGTTGGGTTTGCTCTTACACTTCGAAGTATCATATCAGCATAAACAAAACTAACAAGTTTACTTTTTTAGTTTTTTTTTTCTTTCCATTTGGTATACTTAAAACTGTGTTTGTTTTTGAATTTTCTATGAAGATGAAATATGGTATCTATTTATTTTTATACATTTGAACTTGAAAATGAGAAAGATTGAGACATTTGTGCTTTAGTGTTTTCATCTAGATATTTTGTTCTCTTTGAAGTTTGAGAATGCAGTTCTGAACATCTTTAGTAATAAACAAAAAGTGGAAAAAAATCTTGTTTTCCTATTCTGCTTCAGCCTAATTGAAACTTCATGTAGATGCCTTTTAAGCATTTTCTTCCTTTTAACTTTCTATAGTAAGGCTTGAGAGCTAATGAAATAGTCTTGATTGCAGTTCAGAGACAAAACTTCAGTTAAAGAGTGAGCAATAATTAGCCAAATAAAAAAAGACTGGTGAAGTCTATGGTTACATTCTTTTACAAAGGGTATTTAAAGTGCAGTGAATATGTCCTGTCTTCATGTCAAGGCATTCAAAGGGAGAATGGTTTGTGGGATCGTTTATTCCTAATACTAATGAGCAAAAAAGTAGTAAAGATTTAAAACCACTTCTTTTTAAACCCCTTTCAGGATTATGTAGGGATAAATAGTTTAAAGTTGTCTCCACTGCAAAGTGGAGAAAATCTTATTTTTACTTGTTTTGTAGGACTGTAGTGATCTCTTTGTGTAGGGGTTCCCTCTTGTGGCAAAAAGTGCATTAGCCTTATGAGGAGAAATTGAAAATCTCTTCATAGCATTCACTCATGATGTACAGAAAACTTGTTAGTGTTTTACTGGAAGAATAGAGTGGAATATTGAGGACTTGTATTTTAGAGAGGACATTCCACAAACATTTTGCTAAGTAAATTTATAGAACAAACTGCTTTTTGTTCCTAAATGCAATATAATTGCATAATATCTTGTATGTGCTTGTATGTATGTATACTAAAAAATATTATTGTTAAATATTAGTTACATGGCAGAAAGATTAAAAAATAGACTTTTTGCTCACACTGCCTTATTTTTTTTGCCTATTACAGAACAATGACACTGAAGATGAAGAGAGGTTATGGAGAGATCTTATTATGGAGAGAGTGACAAAGTCTGCTGATGCTTCTCTCACAGCTATCAATATTATGACCTCACCAAATATGCCTAAAGCTGTATATATCGAGGATGTAATAGAGAGAGTTATTCAGTACACAAAATTTCATTTGCAGAACACTCTCTATCCTCAGTATGACCCTGTGTATAGAGTGGATCCTCATGGAGGTTAGTATGTTAGGAGATTTAAAAAAAAATTATGCACATCATCCTATGCTCATACAAGTGATATGACTTTACTAAATGTTGTGACGTTTTTGTCTATAAATCTTATACTGACAATTCTTTCCCATAACAGCCAGCACACTGAATTGAGCCTTTATATGATTTTTGAAGAGCAAAAAGAGCGGTGGAAAATGTAGAGTAAAAAAGCAGCGAATGGCATGTTTTCTCTGAATAATTTTTACCAAGGTCGTGACTTACTTCAATAACAGCAGTTATAATCATGCATTTATCTGTGTATACATTTTATAAATGTGAATGAGTTTATAGTCAGAATCGTCATGTACATGGTGATTTATTTCAGTGAAAACTATTTAGCCTTGAGCAGTTTTTTTTTTTGGTTTTGGTCTTGTTTTAATAAGACTTTTTTGTTCTGATGTAACTTTCAGATGTGGGTTCCTAAATCTTGGATCTAGAATTTAGAAAACCATTATGAAAAATTAATCTGTCAAATGAAATTGTTGTTTTCCTGTTGGTGCTACTAGATTCTTTTTTTCTGTCAACTGTATTTATAAAATTGTTGTCCTGGAGTTTGTTGGGGACCTTCTTTGATAAAATGATCACCTTTCTAATTAAAACATTTTAAAATAATAATGATTTTTTTTTCTAGGTGGTGTTTTAAGTTCAAAAGCAAAGCGTGCCAAGTGTTCCACCCACAAGCAAAGGGTTATAGTGATGTTGTATAATAAAGTTTGTGACATTGTCAGCAGTTTGTCAGAGTTGCTAGAGATACAGCTTCTTACTGATACAACTATTCTTCAGGTAAATTTTAACAGTGTGTTTGTTTTTTCCCCACAGAGGGACCTTAAAGTGTGGTTGCCTCAATGACACGTGAACTTAGAACTGACTTTTTCGGTGTTTCACATCAGACTGGTTTATGTTGTGCACTACATTATCCCAAGGAGAAAAGCATATAATGTTCAAATCTGGCTTTGTTGTACACTTTGAAGTTTAACACGTTTGTATTCAGATGTGCTTTAATAACTTGATTTGCAAATAATTGGAAGTAACACATATTGTGAGAGGGCATATACCTTATCTGGTGAACATACAGGCTGCTTTGTTAAACTGCATAGATATCAATTTGTTAGACCATTTACCTACCCTGATTTATTTCTGTTAATAGGTATCATCCATGGGAATAACACCGTTCTTTGTAGAAAATGTCAGTGAACTACAGTTATGTGCCATCAAATTAGTAACTGCAGTAAGTATTTTTAGAGATTTTGCGTTCCTACATTTCATGCTCCTGTACTTCATGGCATTTACATGCACTGTATTTTTGCTGGTTTGCTAGGAACAATGCTCCTGCATGTGTACCTGAGCTTCTCTGATTTGCAGAGTACCTTATAGTAACAAATAATGTACTAATGAAAATTAATTTAATTGTGCATGTGATTTAAAATGTAAGCAAAACCCCCGTACACTCATCTTTCCTTTCTCATCTTGAAATATCTTAGTTTGGTTTTCTTTATTTACCTTTACCATTATTTAAACATGTCACTGACATTTTAAAGAATACAGCGTTTTAAATAGAAATTGGGTCAGTTGAATTAAAAAAATCAGTATTTGAAAAACAGTTTTTATGTATTTTTTCTCAAGACTTGCTTTCTGTGAAAAGCAATACAATGCATTGAAAACGAGATATGTAATACTATTTTAAATGCCATTTTAAGTGCATGTTAACATTTATAATTTTTGATATAAACTCAACAATAATGTTCTATTGTATTGTTCTATTGTATTTAACATTAAATAATATTTATCAATCCTGTGGCTGTTAAATAGGTGTTCTCTAGGTATGAAAAACACAGGCAGTTAATACTGGAAGAAATTTTCACTTCCCTGGCAAGACTACCAACTAGCAAGAGGAGTTTGAGAAACTTCAGGTAATTACTAACATAGATTGCTAATTTGGTAGCATTTACAGTTTTGTACAGACAGGAATTTAGGCTTCACTATTAATTTCTTATAAGCTTTGTAACTCACAGCAGTTTTTTAGCAGCTGATGTTTCAAAACCTGCACAATGAGAACACAGCTGTCTGATAAATGCATTTCAATTTGTCCTGTAATAAACGTTTTTTCTTATTTATGTTTTTTTTTCTGCTATGTAGAAAGCTGTTGTGGAATTATGCACAGTAAGCCTGCCAGAAGGCCCCTTAGCATGTAGGTGTTTAATGTGTTAAATGTTTCTGTAGGCTTTGACACAGGGCTTCAGGTGGCCATTGAGGGGCAGTTTCAGTTTCCCTCTGTTGAGGATGATGCTGTTTTTGTCAGTCTGAGTCTGTCACTGAACACAGAAGAAGCAAATAAGGAAATATCTAGAACACAGATTTCTCACTATAGTAATAATTTTAGAAAGATATTATTTAGGACCAAAAAAATCTTATCCTTACTTTTTTTAGTATTAATATTATCATATTCATATTAACAGGTTAAACAGCAGTGACACTGATGGAGAGCCTATGTATATTCAGATGGTAACAGCGCTAGTTCTGCAGCTTATTCAATGTGTTGTGCACTTACCATCAGCAGAAAAAGATTCTAATTCAGAGGAGGAATCGAACAAAAAAGTAAGAAAGCCGTGTTTAAACAGCCAGGAAATTCTTCGTTGTTTTATGTCTTACGATGGTGCTGTAGTAATCAAGTGATGTGTTTGGATGCCTGTTGTAATTTTTACTATATGAAAAATGCTGATATGTAAATCACATTTCTAAGTATGTTAAAGTGTTAGGCAAATGAATTTTGTTATTTTTAGGTGGATCAAGATGTGCTTATTACTAACTCGTATGAAACAGCCATGAGAACAGCACAAAACTTCCTTTCTATTTTCCTTAAGAAGTAAGTATTGTTTTAATATTCTTTATTATGTTGATAAAACAAACTCAGAGGAAAGTCTGTCACAGCTTCAGACAAAACTGATCACAATGATAAATACCCATAATACAGATGTTTGTAGCTTTAGTCTTTATAGATTCCTAAGAGAGTTACTTGTCTGGACAACTTTTTCTATGGAACAGAAATTATGCAGAGTTCTTTATAGGTTTAAAATCAGTCTAACACCTTATGTAGGATCCTTTTACTGGGTGTCTTTTACTCATCTGAAGGGTAAATGAAAAATCTGATTAAATATTTAAGAGGTGAAATATACTACTATATTAAGTCATCAGAATGACTAAGAAAGAAAAAGCCTAAAATATTTTCATTTATATGAAGCTGGTGTTATTAATAGGTCAACAGAAAAAAAAAAAGTCTCTTTATGGTATGGCTAAGTAGTCTAAGCATTTATACAGGAGATTCTGTCAAGTTCCAAGGCTTTAATCAAATGAATTTTGCTAAGCCAAAATGATGTTTACTGGCACCCTTACCCTTCTGTATATTTCAGGTATCATTAAAGTTAGGGTTCTCACATGCCAGGGAAACATGAGCAGGACAGTGTGTGTTATTTCTTTTTTTTCATTCTGATTTTAGCCTTTGTGCAGTGTGGGTACTGAGGTGTTTTATGAAAATGGGTTGAGTCATGCCAGGCTCTAGGAGTGTACGCACATTATTTCCTAAATGCACTTTTCCAGCTTTAGATTTTTAATTTAGCCTTGTCCATCCTATTTGTGCAGACTTTAAAACAATAAATAAAATGTTGGGAACAAAAGCCCACGATCTTGGATTAGCAGCATTTCCTGCAGTGCAGATTGGAGTGTTAAATGTCCAACTTGTTCATCTTTAACTGAATAAAATATTATTTTCTTCAAAAATTTCACTATTTCAAAAGTTCTTTTCTTACAATTCCATAAAACTCATTATCTCTTAAAGCATAGGGCTTCTTTGTTAATATCAGAAGAAAAGCTTAAATGGCTTTTAAAAATGCTTACCAAGTTTATGTTCTTTTAAACAGGTGTGGTAGTAAACAAGGGGAAGAAGATTATAGGCCACTGTTTGAGAACTTTATTCAAGATCTTCTTTCCACAGTCAATAAACCAGAATGGCCAGCTGCAGAGTTGCTGCTTAGCTTATTAGGAAGGCTATTGGTAAGAGATTTTTGTCTTTAACTGTTACAGTAATTGATTTCTGTTTACAATGAAGGCTTATCTCAACTCAAACTCTTAAAAGAATGCTTCTGATAGCTGACAAACATACAACATCTAAGGATTCTCATGTGTATCTGATTGTTACATAAGACATAGATAACACACTTCAGGCTGGAACATGGTAGAACTGATCAACATTACTTGCAAAAGAGGACTTGTTCTCATGGAAGGTGGCTTCCATTCTGCCATATATCCTCTTTTCTCCACTGAAAAAAATCGTCAAAAAGTGCATTTACCTGTTTGGAAGTAAAAAACAGTCTCATAGCTGTAGTTAATTCATGGTAAATATTTTCTCTGGACTACTCATTTAGCACAGAGCACGAGAACAGTTAAGTACATATTTTGGTTTTCTGCAGATAAATAATACATCTGCTCAAGGAATGTAGTATTTAATAGAATGTAAACATTTTTATTGGCATGTGTTTTTCATGTGTTGTTCTTGGGTATGAAGATGTAGCTAGCACAGTAATGTGAACAGCTTCTTGAAGAACAGGTGTTTTATGGTCGTGTTCCTAGTTAATGTAGCATTCATTATGGTTTTGTGGATAATGTGGAAGACTCATTTTGCTACTTAAGGTCTATGCTATTGCAAAATTTATGTGTTATGTACTACATATCCAGATCATTTTATAAAAACAGATATTTTAAATAACTCAAAATGGTATATTTATAAAGAGAGAGATGCAACAATTGTTAAAATAAAAGAGCATATCTGCGGTATAAGAGTAAGTGACAATTTTATGCAGCATAAAGTAGTAAAGCCAAATGCTGTCTTGTGAGAAGAATCTCAGAGGCATAAATATGTTTTATTTTTAAATCATTTTATTCTGCTTTCCTTAGGTTCACCAGTTCAGTAATAAATCTACAGAAATGGCTTTAAGAGTTGCATCCCTTGACTATCTTGGAACTGTGGCTGCAAGGCTGAGGAAAGATGCGGTCACTAGCAAAATGGATCAAGGCTCTATAGCCAGAATTCTCAAGCAGGTGTGTGAGGGCTCCTGGGCTGGCTAGTGCTTGACCAGCTGGATTGAAAAGCATACTTTAAAAGAAAAATGAAGTAGTGTTGCAGTCTTAAGGATGTGTTTAAGAAACGTGGCATCTGCGGAATTGCATTGCTGTTCAAAGATACCTGGGTCAGTTTATAAACACCAGGGTGGTTAGCTCATCATTGTCTGTCTTAAATAAGCCTCCTAATGATCATGTCAAGTGGTTAACTGGAATGGTGAAACAAGTTTTGTTATGACAACAGAGAGGAGGTAATGGAACAACAGGTGGAGATTGTACTAAGAGACCTTAAAAATATCTTTATGTATGTATGTGTATTTGTCATTGCACAACAGGAGGAAACATGTACTTAACACGGGTGATGGTAGATGGTACCATCCATACATTATGGATGGTGAATTTTATGCAGTACCACCAATAATAGGTTGTTTATAGCCAATTTATAAAAAACAAATAACTACTCAGAAATGTATACATTACTGCTGAGTTTCACTTTGTAGTTCAAAAGGCAAGAAAATGAGATCTCATGGTAGACATATTCAGATGTATTTTTCAGTGTATTTTGTACGCAGGTATGCAGATTTTCAGGTTTTATTTACCACTGTGCAGTACTGTATTTTATAGCTGTCTCTGCTACCTCTGACAGGTTTCAGGAGGAGAAGATGAAATCCAGCAGCTGCAAAAGGCTTTGCTAGATTATCTGGATGAGAATACAGAAACTGATGCTTCATTAGTGGTAAAATTCAGTTTTCTGAATTTAAATATATATGCAAGTAATAAATGTAAGGCAGCTACTGAAGAAAATGATTTGGGATTGTGCCTGTTACTGCTTCGGTTATTTTGTTGTCCTAACATAAACTGTTGATTGTATTTTCTGTGTGTTAGACTAGCTTAATCTCACTATAAAACTATTGATCTCCCCCCTCTTTATCTACTTTTTTTTTTTTTTTCCTGTGGATCCTGCTGTATTTCCTCAGTTTTCTCGGAAGTTTTACATAGCCCAGTGGTTCCGTGATACAACCATGGAGACAGAGAAAGCCATTAAGTCTCAGAAGGACGAGGACTCGTCCGAAGGAAGTCACCATGCAAAAGATGTTGAGACTACAGGACAAATCATGCACAGAGCAGAAAGTCGCAAAAAATTTCTCCGCAGCATCATTAAAACTGCTCCATCTCAGTTCAGTACATTAAAGTACGTTTCAGTAGTGCTGATGTCCTCATTTAGCATGCTTTTGATTTTTTTTTTAAATTATTTTTCATTAAGCGTATCCTGATTAACCCAGTGACTCTGTTGCAGGATGAATTCTGACACTGTGGACTATGAGGATGCGTGCTTGATTGTTCGCTACTTGGCCTCTATGAGGCCGTTTGCCCAGAGCTTCGATATTTATTTGACACAGGTAAACTGTGCCAGAAGTCTTAGTACAGTGAAACACAGTTGGTTTCTCATTCCAAACACTTATGGGGTAGTGTGAAATATCTGTTCGTTGTTGAGCACAGGTATCTAACAGGCCATAATAACACCACATGCTTTCATATTCTGTATTGATGACATAAGTGCTTATTTTTCTTTTCCTTGCATGTGTTTCATACATGCCATACTATATACATATATTATTTTATTTGTGCATATGTGTATGACAAAAATAATTTTACTAGAAATATGTAGTAGAAGAATAATTTAAAAATGCCAAAACCTTTTCACAGCTTTTCTAAGATGCATGCTCATTTGATAATATTAACTCGTGAAATGTATCTTAACGCCTCATGCGTATGCTTATTTATATTCAAATTTTTGAAAATACAAACCAATGTGGTGATATGTTTGCAGCGCATGGGACTGTCACTTTGGAAGCTGCTGTTTGACCAAAGTGCTTTCTCCCCTTTTCTGGGAAGAAGAGTGTTAACACTTGGGCTCATTTGAGCTCCAGTAGTGGTTTAAGTTGCAGTCCTTGTATTGGTCTGCACAGAGAGCAGTTACAGTGCCCAAATCAATCTCTTCTGTTGAAGAAAACTATGGTGAAAGCCACACATGAATGTCAAAAGCTGAGTTTAAAATGAAGGGTCTTAAAGATACAGACCCCATGTAGATCCCATTTGGACTAACCTTAGAGGTATAGCAAATTGTAGCAAATATCCATACCTGATTATCAGTGCCATTGAACATCACTCGCATGTACCTTCTTACTGTCTGAGAAGATAGACTCAGTTTTTGATAGTCAGATTTTTTTATTTTAGTTTAATATTTTGCATGTTATTCCACTGCATTTTTTGCCTTTGTTAAACATTGTTTGCTGCCTTCCCAAAGCACTTGAAATGTTGTTTTTGTTCTCTTATTAGATTCTGCGTGTACTTGGTGAAAATGCAATTGCTGTTCGAACAAAAGCCATGAAGTGTTTGTCTGAGGTTGTTGCTGTAGATCCCAGTATTCTAGCCAGGGTAAAAAAAAAAAAGGAACTATCCCTCATGCACATGTATTTTTCTGTAATGCCTAAAAGAATTCTTCGTTTCTTACACCGGCTTTGTCTTTGGTTCACTGATTTAGCTGGATATGCAGCGAGGTGTTCACGGCCGGTTAATGGACAACTCCACCAGCGTGCGAGAGGCGGCCGTGGAGCTGCTCGGCCGCTTCGTGCTCTGTCGTCCCCAGCTTGCTGAGCAGTATTACGACATGCTCATCGAAAGGATATTGGTACGGCGTCCCGTGGGGCGGATAAGACTCATGAATTAGTACATGGCGTTAGAAAACTGGTTTTCAACGGAGTTTATTTTTAATAATGCAAAATAATGTTCTGACCTTGAGAGTAAATTAGTTTTTATTGTTTAAACTGGAAGTACAATGTTCGTAAGACAAATTTCATAAAGTGCATTGCTGGTTTCCAGTGAGGAATCAGAAGGTAAACACACGTAGAAAGCTGTACAGAGGAACACCCGGATATTGATGATTTTATTCTTTTTAATTCCAAACTAGGTGAAACAAGGCATTTTACCATGTCTCTGAAGATACAGATCACTGAAGGCGCTTCACTAGTGTGGGCAGATTTGCAGCCCAGTAATCTGAAGTTGCCATTTGTAAACCAAAAGAAAAAAGGATAAAATATTTTATTTTTCTATTCTATGTTTGTAGAGTCGAACACAGTATTTTGTGTTCCTACTCTATGAAATTTGTTAGAGGTTTTCTACAAATATTTCACGTCCAGATAACATACAACAGGAATTTAATTGTAACACTAGCCTCATTTGTGTCAGGTTTTTAGCTGATTTGCTGTTATTTGTATGATAAACATCTTTGTGGAGGACTTTAAAGATAGGTAGCTTCATATGCGTAAAGGTGCATAAAAATACTCATCCTAACATTCAGATTTAAGCATTTTTGTATCAGATAATGCGGATTAAAACTCCTTGTTCCTCTTCTTAGACTAAGTCTAGGAAAATGGAAAAGATTTCTGGCTCATCATATCCATAAACTTTTTGCAAAACCTTGAAGAATTATGACCCAGGCTTAAAAGGGGTCTTATGTATTCCAGCAGCATAAGAGGTTAAAGCAGCATATTGTCTAGCTTTGAACTCTTGAATTAAGGAGCAGAATTACACACTTAGGAGCTCTTAAGGGAGAGGAGATAAATGGAGGAAATGCTAACATCATTCGCGGGACTCTGGCCAGGACTTTAGAACCCTTGCAAATAAAATGCTACAGTTATGTGGATCTTTCATTTAAAGGCATTCTAGAATATTTAACTGTCTTTATAAACTACATTTTGCAAGTATAGATTGGGTAATCTTCAATTTTTAGTTCATATGATATATATAAAATGAATTCATATGGCTGATTTGTTTTCAAGAGTATAATGCTTCTTTCCACACAGGATACTGGTATCAGTGTCAGAAAAAGAGTCATAAAGATACTTAGAGATATTTGCATTGAACAACCAACTTTTCCCAAAATTACAGAGATGTGTGTGAAAATGATTCGGAGAGTCAATGATGAAGAAGGCATTAAGGTAGAAAAAAACATTTCCTTCTGTTTTTTAATTATTCTCATTTCTATAGTTTGACAAAAGTTAAATTGATTTATGAAAGGATTTCATGCTCGTTTGTAATATATATGGTTTCTTTTTACTTCCTACATTGCTGAGGTTTGCTTTTTTCTTTCTAGTTTTTGCTGGCAATCAAGAGATATATTTTTAAGTTATTTCCTAAGTTTTTGTTTTTCCTTCTTGCAATTATTATCTCTGTTCCTTCCATTGCTAACAAGAAAAATTATCACGTAAAAATGAACTGAACTTTAGCTCCAGGTTAGCAGTGAGCAGGGCAGAGCTCAGGGGGCCGTGGTGGGTCTGTGGCTGGCGGGGGCAGAGCGGGGCTCAGTGCTGTTTACCCGGCCCTCGCGGGTGGCTGGAGGGCAGAGCCCTGAGCCCGGGAGCAGGAGCGCGGCCCCGGGAGCAGGAGCGCAGGCCGGGAGCAGGAGTGCAGGCCGGGAGCAGGAACGCGGCCCTGGGAGCAGGAACGCGGCCCCGG